AACTGGATGCAGAATCACGCCAAGATGACAAATATATTGTGTTGTTATTTTTTGCTATGTTTTGACCCTCCTTCACAAGCTCCAGTTTGCTGCTGTGTATTTCCTAGAGGCTTGTTTAGAACAAAAAGACACGTGTGGTTCAGACTAAGTCTGGTGCAGGCAATTCTGTAACCTCTGTAGATGATGGAGGATGCAGCCTTGCAAATCCAAGAGGTCTGGTTGAATTTATAAGTCCGTGGGTGCTTGCCAGGAGTTATCAGTGGTTTCTCCAGGCTGGGCAGATGCTAGGCTGTTAGACCCAAATTCCCCTGTAACATCAGCTATGCTCAATGGCTGCCTTTCTCTCCAGGCTTCGTCTCCACGATGGGAAGCTCATTAAGGACAGACGTTACCACCTCCGAACGTACCCAAACTGCTTTGTGGCGAAGGAGCTCACGGACTGGCTGATCGACCACAAAGAAGCCCCGGACCGAGAGACGGGCATCCGCCTCATGCAGAAGCTGATGGACCATTACATCATCCATCACGGTGGGTGGGCTTCTCTGCTCCCCTCTGAGCCTCCCCAGGGAGGTGGCTGTGTGTCTGGTCACCAAATGTGTCCACCAGCCAGGCTTTGGGAGTATGGCCAGGTCCATGTTGATGTTCGTCCCTTGGATGAGGGCTCCTGGAGGAGCTGAGAGATGACAGGCAGGCACGAGGCTCTATGGGGTCGAATCTGTGGGAAGATGAGTTGCTTTGGGGGGATGTGCCAGGTGCCTGCCTCACAGTAAAGGGCCTTCGTGCTGGTAAAGCAGCATCTGAGGTGGCTCTTCAGTGAGAGGAAGTTCAGTAACGTCTGATCTATATTGCCCTACAGCAATTGCGTCGGCAGCTGGTGGTGGATAGTTTACAGAAGGTGGTTTAGCTCATATTTATGTTGTGCAGAAGTGGAAGCTGAATGATAACACGCGCTTCACATCTGCAGGAAGGTTAATTTCTTGCTGTGAGAGCCCAGTGTTCCTCAGTTTCCCCATCTGTGCTAGGGTGGGACAAGTAGGGGTGTGGAGTTGACACCTCTCAAAGCAAAAAGTCATCTGGCACCTGTAAAACTGGGGCTAAAGTGATCCTGGAGGAATGCCTCCCTTGGGAATTAAGTGAATAATGCCATTTCAAAGGCTTGTCTGTTGAACCTGTTAAAACAAAAACAAAGAAAAAAGAAGGAAGGGTGAGACCTGTGTGACCTACTCGAGATGGCATGGGCGTTGGACTGGATGATTTTTCAAGGTCCCTTCCAAGCCCTGACATTCGGTGATTCTGTGAAAAAAGCAGTTTGGTGCTCAAGCCCAGCTCTAAGTATTCCAGTTTTGTTCCTTTTAAAAATCATTTGGAACTTTCAGCAGCTGTGGATTAGCTCAGGCCTTTTGCTGGGGTCTGTGCCTGCCCATGGGCTGCAGAGCAATCCCCAAGGTCCAGCCCTTGGTCCCGACGTAACAACAGGAGACAAGTCCTTCGTATCAGCAAAGAGCTGGTTCTCACCGTGTGATTTTTTCAGGCCGAGTCAGGAACAAAAGTCCTGGATTTTCAAACAGGACTGGGAGGCCACTGCCCTTGGTGGGAAGGGCTGCGGCTGAGCTGCCCACCCTCAGCTGAGCTCTCTTGCTTCAAGTCCTTGGGACCCAAGCTGTGGTCACCTGGAGCTGGGTGGTAATTTGTCACAACAGGGTCAAGCCAAGGAGACCGAAGCAGAGGAGAGCCATATCAAATCCAGCCCTCTCTTCCTTCCTCTTCCCTAGGGTCCAGAAATAGCTGCCTTGGACCACTGCAGTGCAAACACTCTGTTGCCATCTGCTGCTTGCCGAGCTTAGTGCCCTTTATATTGAGCTGCTGCTGTGCCTTATCACAAAAGCATAAAGCTGAAGCAGTGAGTTCTCAGTTAACCATTAACGCTTAAAACCGATAATTCTTCCGTCTCTCCAGCTGACAGTTTCAAATAAATCCATTAGTTAATTAAACCTGTGTAGCAGTGGGTATGGTGCTGTTTTGCTTATCGCGGATGCGTCTCTCCTGCTTCTGTGATAATTCCTGGCATGACATGGAAGTCGACTTTCCAGCTTCCCTCATGATCATAAATTTTTGTTAGTCATATGGAAACAGGGCTGCCTGCTGACCGCAGCGCTGTGCTAAGTGCTTTGCAGTTGGCTGTCTAAACTGCATGCCCTCTTCTCCGCTGGGATCCAGAAGACAATAATTATCTCATGGAGATCATTGTCTTTGCTGCCTTCTTGATGGTCTGATGTGGTTTGAGCTGTTACTCTATTACATGCTGGAAACACATTGAAATTGGTCCTCAGATAGCAAAAATGCTTTGGTTTTAAATGGGTGCTGTCCTGTGAGGTTTTGCATTGAATTCCCAATTGCAACATCTGAACCGTCGTTGCTCCTTGGAGTTAAGAAGTTGCAAACTTTCACCTTTTAAAACACCCTCTCAACCTGCCTTCTTGCTGGGTGAGTCATGGGCTTTTGAGCCCATCTGCTCCTGGAGAACGATGAACTCCAGATGATCTGACAGTTTTTAGCGTTTTGCTGCTCAACAGAAGGGGAATGAAGTTTTGCCAGTCTGCTCAGAAGAAGGAACAAGTGTTAAAATTTTTGCAAGAAATATCTTTTCAGTTTCACTCTAGTGCATTATATTGCTTTAGTGAGAAAACCTTTGTGGTTTTTTTCCTTTCCCATTTGAGTAATTTTATTTGTTTTCCTTACTCTGGTTTGTTGAGGGTTTGTCTTTGGTGGGCCTGTCTTTTTGTTGCTTGGTTTTGGGTTTTTCATCACTGAAGTTTCTCCTTGCTTCACATGGGTGGAGCTGAAGAAAGACAGACTGGCTGATTTAAGAGCTGGACTGATTTTTTTTTACTGGGGACTGTTTTTTTTTGTTTGGGTTTTGTGTGGTTTTTTTTTTTGCTTGTCTAGGAATCTGTTGCAGGCAAGCTTATCTCAAAGCTGTATCCCAAATATTTACCTGCTAAATGTTGCATGCACTTAGCAGCCATGCATTTACAGATTGTGTGCTCGGATGAAACTTGAGGCTTTTCGTGTAGATTCGCTTATTCCAGTTGTATGCACCCAGCTTTGAAGAGGAATTTCTCTCCTGAGGTCACTTTGCCCTGCAAATGAATTTGGCGGGGCTGACTCAAAATGCTGTGGAAAAGTTGGTGTTGTTATACATTTTAGCTTAGAGGTATTATTAATGGAGACAGGTGATTTTACAGGGTTTTGGATGCAGTGTGGGTTTTTTTCTCTCTACTGTAATCCAAGTCTGCTTACATGTGGCAGTAGCTTTTTAAAAGAAGCTGATTGAGACAATTCTGTTTGCTTTCTTTCGGTCTAACCCAAAGCATCAATGTTTAAGTAAAAACAAACAAGAAAAGCCTCACCCACACACCAAAAAATAACCCCAACAGAAAAAAACCCACACAAACCAAACAACAAACCTTCTCGGTTTGTTCTAATGAACATTTTAGGGTGTGGATCAAAATGTAGACTCGAAGTGAAGCCTTTCCAAGGTCTTTTTGGTGGGACAGACCTCTCCCACGAGCCTGGACTGGAGGCATTTGTGAGCCCCTAATCTGGGGACCGTAGGCTCGGATGCTGGTTGCTCCTTGGTGTGAGGGACATGAAGGAGGACATCGCACACAACCTCAGTAGCTCTCATCCTGGAGGTAACACCCTGCTGAGCCCGTGCAGCTCCGTCCGTCCCTTATGGACAGACAGCCGCCTGCTGTGCTGATGCCCCCGCTCTCGACTCCTTCCAGTCTGCGACGAGCACTCGGACTACAAGGACGCCAAGCTGCTGTACCGCTTCCGCAAGGACGATGGGACCTTCCCTCTCAGTAAGGACGTGAAGGTGTTCATGAGAGGGCAGAGTCTTTACGAGAAGTACGTGAGTCCTTCCCCTGCAGAGATGCTCTCGGCGAGGGGCGATGGGAGTGCCAGCTGCGCTTGCTGATGGTGCTCTGCGGCTGGGGGCCGGTGCTCTGGGGCTGGGAGCCACGGCTGGAGCCAGCTTCTCTCTTCCTTCCCTGTATTCCGTGCTGTAGCATTGGGAGATGCTGTTTCCTGAGCCCTGTCACAGCTGCTGGACAAACAGCCTCTTTGGGGCTGGGACAGGAGCTGTGCTCTGAACTCAAGGATGCTTTCAAGGGCTCCAGCCCAGGTGCAGGTTCTGGGGTCTGGTACAGGGAAGTGCTCAGGTCCTGTCTGCGGTTTGAGTGCTTCTGGGATGGGCACATCCAGTGGCTGTTGCCAGCACTCCCCCAGCCTCCCTGGGGGAGCTGGACCCACCATCATGATCAAGGCTTTTGTCCCACCAAAATCTGCAGGGTATAGGATATTCAGGGCTGTCATGGGTCTAGATCCCTGCACCTCTCTTAGCCTATTTGTGATGGAAAAACTAATTCTCAGACAGCGAAGAAAACCCCTTCCACCTTCAAGTGTTTAGTTTTCTTTGTGCTGATTGTTTCTGGTTCTAAATCCAAGTTCCAATTCCAGATTTCTCACAAGTATTTTCCTAGACAGAGTTCAACCACAGACCGCCCTCTGGACCCGGTTCCTTTCACAACCTCCTCACAGCTCCATCCTCACACCCTGGCAGTCAGATTCCCAAACGAGCACTGAGGGAGAAGCCCACAGTGCATCCCCTCTGTTTTGCTCTTGCTGGGCCAGCTCGTCTCATGGCTGAGCCCGCTGCACCCTCTCGTGGAGACGCTGGATTTAGCTCTCACACGCTGCAAGCTTGAGTGTTCATTTACGAAATGCACCTTCCCCATCGGTTTGGACCATCTGCCCTTTGCTGCATGCACTCGGTCTCTTGCTTGGCTTTCCCCTGTGGTCTTTGGCTGAGGTCTCAGCTGAACTGATTTCGCTGAAGCTGCTTCTTCCGCTGCGATGGAGATTCACGAAGCTGCCCGACTGCAGCTCTGCATTTCTCTCTCCCTAACGCTGCTCCCAGGCAGCAAAGTTTTGGCTGTAATGCTTTGCCCACACCTTTTGGCCTTGCTTTGGCTGGCTGCAGCTCCCGTGCGGGATGGCAGAGCTGCACAGCGTCACGGGAGCCTTGTCCCACCTCTGTGCCAGGCTGGTGAGCACGGAAGAGTCGATCCTGAAGGTGAGAGAGGAGAACTCCGTGAAGTACCAGAGGGCTTTCCTAGGCTGTGAGATGATCAGCTGACTCGTTCAGGAGGGAGAAGCGGAGAACCGAAAGGAAGCCGTGGAGCTGGGACGGGCGCTGCTGGAGCACGGGATCATTCAGCACGGTGAGCGAGGCTCCGGCTGGAGCCAGGGTGGAGAGCAGAGATGAGCGTAGTTAAGGCTGTGCTAGGAACAAATCCTCATTCTTGTCACGCAACGAGTGCTGGTCAAGTGCCCGCTCGGAGATGGCAATGGGGCCTTTCAGTTTTATATTTGGAGCTGGTGACCTCTGAAATCACAGCAATCTTCCACCAGCCGCAAAGGCGTTGAGTTGAAATCTGAGCTGCTGCTCTTCAGTTCTTCAAAGCCTCTGGCCGCAGGGCTGGGATCCACCCCTGGGTTTGGAGGGCTGGGTTGTGAGGTTCAGCTGGGCTTGGCTGCAACTGTCTGCAGGAATTAAGCTTCCAGTTCAGAAGGCAGGGAGTCCTCTGAGCGTCTTGGGACAGGGACAGAAGGAGGGCTGTCACTCCGTGGTGCACCCCTGGGAGATGGCATCTCTTGAGGAGGTGGCCCTGCTCTTCCTCCTTCCCTGCAGAAACCATTCTCAAATAGTCAGAAATACTGCAGTAGAACACAGAGGCATTAAAAGCAATTCATCTGGGTCCCTCAGTGTATTTGCTATGTATTTTTCACACACCCTTAGCCTCTTCTTCTTCCTCTGTTCTCTCCTAGTCTCCAACAGGCATCACTTCTTTGACAGTGACAGCCTCTACCACTTCTGGATCAACTTTCGACGGAGGCGTCGTCTCACAGAGTTACTAAACGAGAATTCTTCTTGCACCTTCTCTGAGAGCTCGGACAGCCCCTTCTGTCTTCGCAAGCTCAACCCAGATCCAGGCAACACCAGCTTTCTCTCTGGTAACTGTGACTGTATTTGTGGAGGGGGGTGAAATCAAGGATTATGCTGCCAGAGTATCCCAGAGCTGAGGCTGCTCCTCCAGACATCCCATGAGGTGATCCCACTGCTTTGTGGTGGATGCCATGATGCCGTGGCAGTCTCTATCACAGCTCCCCACTCCAGGAAAATAACTCAGCTCACCATCAGCTCAGCTCTTCATCTTTCTTTGAAATTAGCTTTATTCTTTCTAAGCTCAAATGCCATTTTACCTTTCAGATGTGGGTCAGGCTGGTGGGGAAAGTTTGTTATTTTAAACTAGTCTGTTCCTTCCCTGGGTAACTGTTATTTCTGCCTCTTTCAGTCCAAACCAACAAGGAGATCAAAGTCGTCTCAGCGGTTCGAAGGAGCAGCATCACTTCCCTCTCTGGAAACTCCAACCCCTACTTCAGCACTACTCCTATGCTGGTGTTCCCTCCCGTGGCTGAGTGCAACCCCAAATCAGGTCTGGGCTTCTGCGTCGCGCTGTCATTGCACGACAGACGTCTGTTCCTTCAGGGCACCGGCCAGCTCAGGCCTCAAGTCCAAACCCATCCACATGCCAGCTTGGTGAGCTGCAAGAGGAGAGGTTCAGCCTCACCTCTGAGCCTGGATTTGAAAAGCTGCGCAAGTGTTTTTGAAAAACGTTGAGATAGATGCAAAGGTTTCTGTGGGTGGTAGCTGTGGCTGCTTCTAACATCTGTTCTCCGGCCCATGGTAATCCCCGGGCTGCCTCGTTATGCACTTTACTGCATGAAACCCTTGATTCTGATAGGATCTGTCACCTTCTGCTCTAGTGTTAAAGAGACCCGTCACCAATGAAGAGCTCCTGTCCCCTGGGGCCCCCTACATCAAGAAAACGCTAACGGTAAGTGACCACAGCGACTGGTACTGCTAACCCAGCAGTGCTGAGCTCCCCAACCACTCTGCCATCGCTTTCTGTCTGTCTGACCTCCGTATGCTGAAGCTTTGGTTGCGTGTCACATCACCACGGCTCTTTCTGAGTGAGTCTCAGTGGGTCAGCATCTGCAGATATTCTTGTGGGCGAAAATGCGCACAGCCTCCACCTTAGTTTAATGTATATTAAAGGAGAAGATCAGAGAAGAGAACGTTTTATGGCCAGAAAACCTCCCTTTATGTTTTATCCAGCTCCATACAAACTACAGAATCCATCAAGTCTCATGAAAGTTGAGACTTTGATACTCATCGTCTGTCGCACGGGTGTCATGGCTTTATGCACCATTCAGGTTCCTGCTGCAGAGCAGATGTGTTGATACAATCCATTTGCTGATGGAGCAGCACTGAATGGGGAGCATCTGAGGGCCACTCTTGCTTTTCTCCTGATGGGCTTCTTCCAAAATAAACACACTGCAAAATCTCCAGGGTACTGCAGGCAACCTGAGTTTGGGGCTTTTGCTTTTCTAATTTTTTCTAAAGCTGTAGGACCAGTCCAGGCAGGGCTGGTGGGTGCTGGGTGTGAACACTGCAAGACAGTTCCTGCCCTGTGGATCCTATTGCGCTTGTTTATTTTTGTGTAAAACTTCTCAGCCCTTTCCTGCCCGCCTTAGAAAGGGGGAACCTCACGGTGGCCAGTTTAGGAAGTGTGAGGGCTGTCTTGCCGTACCGATTTGACCCAAGGGGAGTTACAGAGGAGCTGTGGATCAGGTTCCCAGATTAACTGTGCTGTAGAAATTGGTGGGAAGGAGCAAGAAAAATAAAGCTGGTGATTAGCGTGGCATGTGTGAGGACGTGCCGTTTGCTTCTCCTCATGAATGCTCTTGCCCTGCCCTTCAACTTTGCCAGCCTGGGCCTTTCATGGCTCGTTTCCTTCTGCTTAGCAGTGCAGTTGCTGTTATTTATTTATACGGGTAATGTGCAAAGTCCTTTGGGAATTACTTTTCTCTTTTAGTCACATCAGGTGGCCACACTATTGCAGCAAACTGCTCCGACAGACTGAGATCAGAGTAGGAAAAATTAAAGAGTGGCTAATTCCATCCTGGAAATGCTGTCCCGTGCCAAGGAAAAGGCACCGTGTGCGTGCTCTGGCAATGTTCTCAACACACCCTCGGTGCATGCCTTGCGCTTCAACTTCATGCTGCCTGTGCTCCACTCTTCTGCACTTGTTGGAAGGGAATACTTATCAGAAAGCAGCTCTGCAGAGAGCAATTTGTCTGCGGTTCTGCATCTCACGTGGTGCCCAGCCCTTTCTCTCCTGCCTGTGACAGATCAGGATCATGAGCAGATCTCTCTAGTTCTCTACGAACTGTTCTCTCTCCTCTCTCCAGCCCGTTCCTTGTTTATTTACCACCCTTTTGTTCTGCTTGCAGATCGTGGGGGATGCAGTGGGCTGGGGGTTTGTGGTCCGAGGAGGAAGACCATGCCACATCCAGGCAGTGGACCCAGGAGGACCCGCTGCTGCTGCGGGGATGAAGGTACTTCTTACTCGTGATGACTTAACAGGAGACAGGACTTATGTCCTGCATGAGTTTTTCGGGCTGAACACGCCCTGTGTGATACTCCAACCTCCTGCAGTGGAGATAATTCGGATCAGGTCGTCACGTCTGCGAGAGGCGGAGGGAGATGCTCTCGGCAGCGGCATGGACCATGCGTGGCTGCGTGGCAGCGGCTCTACCTTTTCCCATGGCAGGACAGGGGCTGTGGGCAAGCCGGAATGGAAAAGTCTGCTGTCAAAACTGAGCTGTACCTGCGGTACCTTTTGGAGCTGTCAAAACTATTGAGCTGCTAGAAGCAAAACAGAGAATTCCCCATTCACCTCCAGTATCTGTGTGTAACCCCAATGGAGCAGGGAATTTACCATGAATCGCATGGTCTTGCAGCTCCTGAGATATTTTCCATGTACATGAAATCTTAATAACCTTAGACTGATGCCTTCATTTGATTCAAGTACCTTCCAGTACTTCCAGCTCAGATAAAATGAACTGAGATCTCAAAACTCATTTTAGACCCAGACGTGTGGGTTTTGTGCATAGAGTTTTAGGTGTGAATGAAAGAAATGCTTACTTTTACAGTTCCCTGTAAAACCCCCAGCAGCGAGAGAGTAATTCATACAAGCTGGTGTAAGTCTGAAGTCATGTGGATATTTGAAATAATGGGATTCTTCAGAGGCAGAGTGTGACTCCTTGTTTGCTTCAGGCAGGATTGGAAGGGAATGGATGAATTTGTTTCATTTCCTCAAGAGCCCAGTTAATTTCTCCTTACCTAATCTCGTTTGCTACCAAATTGCTGGATGTTAATATTGTGCCTCATTTCCATCTGTGAAATGAACCACTGCTCAGAAATGAGTCTTTTTTATTATTATTTTTTTCTGTTAGCCCACAGTCTAAATCCCTTTGGTCCCTTTTTGATGATGCAGTGATCTTAGCACAGTGATTATTAGTGTAGCTTATGGAGTGGTAACGCTTTAGGGTTTGCGGCATTTCGTAGCAAGTTATTTGCATCACAGCCTCTGGCTCTAGCCAGTCACAGACAGAAGTTGCCGTGAAGACATCAGCCGAAGGTAACTCGCCCTTCCTCTCCTTGCAGGTGTGCCAGTTTGTTTTCTCAGTGAATGGTATGTACGTTTTGCATCTGGACTATCAGACCATCAGCAGCCTCATCATGACAGGACCACGAACTCTCGTGATGGAAGTCATGGAAGCTGTTGAGTGAGCGAAGGAGTCTCATCCCACCGCTGCTGGGAAAGGCAGGATGCTCCACTAAGCATGTGGGGAGGGACCAAGCTTGACCCTTCACTGTGAAATAGTAGCCAGGCATTTTAATATATTTTCCAATAAATGCATTCTAACGGACAAACCTCAGATGTTGATGTTGTTGAAATATTTGGCTCTACCTGATCTTGAGAGGGTCTAAGCTCTTGCAGCTCCTTTTTATTCCCGGGGAGACAGTTCAGCACATCATGAAACCAAGCTGTAGAACAAGCCTTTCGCCCAGCCGAGCTGCGAGGCAGGTGGTAAAAGCTAGTAAGCGGCAAGAAGGTTGATACCAAGCAAGTGAGTATGTCTGAGCTCCCGAGTTGTCTATGCAGTCTGCCGAGAACACAGTGAGCTCTCCAGATGGCCCGATAAGCCGCGCCATCGACTCTGTCAAGAAAATAAGCAAATGAATATGGTGATGGGTGCTTCCTTGGAAAGAAAGTCTAAGGCTCCTGCTACTCTCTTGGCTTAGCCATGCTCACAGCCAGGTCTGGTTGCTCTTCCCCGCTGTTTCCTGAGAAGGTGAGACTTCCGTGCTTGCGCTTTTTGTGCCCCCACCCCCTGATAATGCTGAAATTCATTAAGCAGCTTCACGTTGCCGTGGAGCCAGGAAAAGGTCCCAGTTGTCAGAGGCTGCTGCCAACCCAATGATGGGAGGCAACGGGGGAAAGGAGAGACCCCAGGCAGTGTCATCCCAAAAGAAAACATGTTGTAGTGTGAGTTTGACTCTGGGACGGAACAGAAATGAGTAATAGCAACCAAAACCCAGACCCCTGGGCTCTGCTGCTCCTCGGCCGGCCGGCTTGGCAGACACTGCAGAAAACTTGTATGCAGACCAGCCTGAAAAGGACCTAAATACAGAAAAACAGGTAATAACAAGAAACTGGGGAGACTTCTTGGCATCCTGCCATGCTGTGCGTGCAGCAAGGTGATTTCCAGCCCTCCAGTTCAGGGCAGGTCCCTCAGTGCAGCTCTTTTGTTTTGGTCGCACCAAGTCTTAAAAATATATGTATATTAAAAAAACCCCCAAACCTAAAATAAAAAGAAAAGTTGATTTGTGTTAGAGTAGGAACTAACTTCCATGGAAGATCTGGTGTCAGCTGTGTGTTAGTATTGCGTTACTGCTGGCTGCTAATTTTTTCCTTCATATAAAGGGATATGAGCTCCCCTAGCGCTGGTGCAGAGGTAACAGGACGACTCAAAGCGCAATGTTCCTGGAATATGGTCCAAGCGTTGATAACCCTCTGGGATCCTTCCAGCCCTTAAGTGAAACCAGACAATCTTTTAAGCTGTTTGTCAGTACACTCGCCGCTGTACTTCAGTGCACGAGCAAAGCAGTATCCGTCTCCCTTTTTGTGTCCCTGATTTGTGTTGCTGTTCAGGGAGGGCTTGTTTGTGGTGCCCCCAAGGTTTAATCCAGAGTGTTGGGTTTGAACTGAAGTCAAAGCCAGGAGATCGAAGCATTTTGTGGGCACCTTGGGAGAGAAAACGCCAGAAAGGAACAACCTGAATATAAGCACTGGAAGCAGCTCCAGAATTTTCTGACATAAGCGGAGCACGGATTTTAGCTCTGGATCTGAATTCCCTGGATGTGAAGCATGGCAGATCTGTGCTCTTTCCTTTCTCACCTCCTAGTTTTAAAGTAAACTGTAGCAAATCTGAGAAACTACTGAAATCCAGCAGGAAGTACAGAAGAAGTACTTCGTGGTATTTAAATGTAAAGCAGGGACAACTCTTGTCTCCACAGGTTACCAAATGCTCCGTGTTTTGTCTTAACAAGATTTAAGTGATTCATTTTGGTGTTACCTTTTGCTTCTATGTAGTGATGCTTTTAAACATTTACTAGATTACAAAGCAAAATGGCAATGAGCTACAAAGTGCTTCATTAGCGTGCACAGATATTTAAAAACTATGATTTTATTTTGATTTTTTTTTTTTTCTCCTTGAGTGGACACTTCCAAAGGTGCCGTGTTTCGTATAGAACGGCAAGTGTGATTCTTGCAGCTTGCTGTTGCAGTGGGAGACTGATGCAGACTCCCTGGAGATGCAGCTGAAATGCTGTATGTGAGGAGAAACGCCACCGTTGGTTGTTCTGTTCCTGAGAATGAGGACAAAAATCTTTCTGAAAAAGTTTTTGGTGGGAGCTGGGCAGTTCTCCTGCGTGCTCCCCGGGCTGGGGACCACCTGCCGGTGGAGGTCAGGGCGGTCTCCTGCAGCTGGAACCCAGGTCAGGATTCAGCCTCTGGCCTTGCAAAACTCGCAGATGTGCTTAATTTCCTCAAATAAATGCAACGCAGTTTTTGCCTTCAAAAGTATTTAATGGGTGTGTATGGGGCCAGACTGACTTCATCCCTGGGAGCCTGACAGTGGGTGGGAGCCCCGACTCGTGGCTGCGTTCTAGGAAATCAGCACGCAGCTTCCTAGACGTGTATTTAGTATCTAGTTAGCAAAGCTGTTTTCTGCTCTTTGTAGAAGCGGGCTCTTGCTCCCCGTGCACGCTTTATTTAGCTGCGCGTCGGGGCCAAGCAGTGCTCTGGGCTGCGTGGTGAGAGGGAGGTGGGGGAATCGCTGTCCCTCTCCCCCTGCTCTCCCTCCCCTTCCTTAAACTTCCTGACGTCTGGGAATTGAAATCTCTAATCACGCCGAGGAGCAGGCGAGGCGCCAGGGCTGCGTCTCCCACCGTTGAAGAATGTAGCTGCGTTCGTTGCACCTCCCGGTTGACTCCAGGGAAAGCCGCTCTGCAGAGGTCTGTGGCTTATTTCCCTTTGGGGTTTGGGTCTCGGGGGTGCAGAGAAGGGGTTGTCATGTTTTGGGGCGTGCATGGGTCTCGGTGGAGCTTCGGCAGGGTTTTCCTCTCTGAGTAACTTGGAGCTGGGGCAGCACCGCTGATGTTGCACAGGGCTGGCAGGTCTCATCCTTCAGGTGCTTTGCCTCGGGGTGAAGTAGCCTCAAGACTCGCATTTTCTGTGGGTCAGGTCTAAATACTGCCTGGAACGCTTTAGCAATTCTTTTGGAGTGATGGCTGGGAGAAATGCACTTTATTTTTTGGTTTGTGTTGGGTTTTTTCTGTGTCGCGGTTAATAGCATAAAACCTGAAATTACTGCTGGAGAAGACAGGACTTGGATAGGTTTGTTAGGAGGAGCAGTGGTCTGGGTGGGTTTTTCCCACGCTGGAGGGGTGATGTGGGTCTGCATCAGGCCGGTGTCACTGAGCCTGTGGGGAGCTGCAAAATCTCAGCCTAGAACTAAAACTTGTGCGTTACTTTTTTGAGACTGGTACCAGGATAACCGAGACTTCTTTGTTCAGTAGTGGAACTGAAATACAGGAGAGTAGGATTCTTTTTTTAGTCTGTTTTAGATTTTTTAGCTAGCAGAGCACTGGGGGAGGTGGGGGGAGATTTACCCTCTGCGGCTGCCCGGGACATGTCACTGGTCTCTGCTGCAGGACTGTCCCTGGCGCTGCTCAGCGGCAGTGAGGGACCATGAGGTGCCATTGCTTCTGCCAACACTTCTGGACAGAGACAGCAATGCTCTTCAGGATGAGAAAACATCCCCAGACTGTGGCTGTGGAAGGTGGAAATAATTCACAGTGCCCCCAAAGCCCCACTTTCAGTTGTATTGATTTAAATGCATGGCAGGGTTTTTTCACATAGAATTATTTTTTTCTCTTTAATTAAAGCGACTACATTTAAAATTTCCTGTACAAATAAGGGGATCTCTGACTGCTTAAACCTCCAAATCCCTTCTGGGGCAAGCGGGAACTGGTGTGTGTGTGTGTGTCCCACCCATTTTCCAGGCCCTGGAAATACACACCACATGCTTCATGTGTTGCTGTCTCCACATTCTTTTCCTGGGTGAGTAATGGGAGAGAGGCACCGGCGTGCTGGAGGCTCCCTGCCTGCCAGCAGACTGATGTCACTGTGGTCCCCTCGGTCCTGGGGTCCACAGCTCAGCCTGGCTGGATGGTGACACCAGCGAGGGCAGGAATCAATGGGAAAGGACCATGGAGACCCGGAGTTGGAAGAGAGAGCTCCTCCAGCCATGTGTTTTCTGTTGGTTATTCCTGTGTTACCAGGTAGGAAAACGAAAATTGGAGAAGAGGTGAGATAGTGATGGGTTTGGCTCTGAGCTAGGCAGAAGAGACGAAGTCGCTACTCCCGGCTTTAGTTGCAGTGAAGATCCACACCTCAGGGACTTACGGATCCAAAGTGGGTTAATATTGGACCCATCCTTACTGATGCACTGAATGGCTGAATCAGACCCTGCAGTAAGCCCAGCTCAGTGCAGGCTGGAGAAACTCACATATTTTTTTCACAGGACTTTGGGTCCTGCAAAACCTCAGTTGACATGAAGAGATGCCATGCCATCTGGTGCTTTTGCCAAACTTTGGCATCCCGCTTGCCAGCAGAACCACAGGGAAGCTGCAAGGAAATTGAGACCAGTTTGGCGGCATTACGAAATGGCACGAATGAACATTTTTGACGCAGGGGAATTTTCAAAAATGCAGGCTTTTTGCTCTTGTTTGGCACTTGTACCTCTGCAGCCAGGTTAGGCTTTGCTCTTTGTGACATGATAGTCAGATTCTTGAAACCCACCTGTAAAATTTTTGCTTTTTTTTATAAGCAATGACTTCATTCTATTAGCTGAGGGTTAAAAAGAAAAAAAAGCAAGTGTTTCCCATGGCTAAGGGCTTCGGTTACACTGCAGTTGTTCTGTATAACCTGATCTTCAAACAAAAAAAAAATAATCACAGACTGAGTAGGGTGGTTGATATCTCCCTGTTGTAACTTGCATGTTTTTTCTATTCATTCTTACAGAACTTTAGAACTGATTTAAACCTCAGGAGATCATGGCTGGGTCACTCACATGCATATTTATTTTCCCTTGAAATTGCTAAAAAGCTGATGTATTTGAAGGGAAATCAGCATTTGCCAGGAGCCTCTAAATACCTGTCCATCAAAATGAATAGAAGTGAAATGCTACTGCAGACGGCAGCGGAGGAAACTTGTGTATGGTCTGGTT